GCCCCGTGGGCAGCCAGGAGCAGGATCCCTGTGCTCCAGGAGCAGATCCAGCCCCTCCTGAGGAGACCTCCAGGAATCCTGAGATCCAGGAGCACCGTGAGGTATGGGACTGCTGGGGAGGGACACAGGACCAGCTCCAGGCTCCCCAAACCCTCCCCACCAGCAGCACACAGCTTCCCCTGGGGATGGTTTCTATTTTTTTCTATTATTTTTTCTCTTTTTTTTCTATTTTTTCTGGTTTTTTTCTATATTTTGTATTATTTTTTTCTGTTTTTCTCTATTATTTTTCCTATTTTTCTAGTATTTTTCTAGTATTTTTCTATTTTTTTCTATTATTTTTTTCTATTTTTTCTATTTGCTATTCCCACCCTAAAGCACAGCCTGCAGGGAGGCACAGCCCCCTTTCCCAAACCCTCTAATCCCCTCACTGTGGACTCCACAATGCCCCTGCTTGGTGTGGGAGCAACTAATCCCACTCTTAAAATTTAAGAGTTTAATTAGCGATAATAAATAAGTATTTATTTATTATTTATATTATCTTTTTATTATTAAATATATATTATTTAAGGATTTAATTTTTATTATTTATTATTTATTATTTATTTACTTACTAAATAAGAATTTATTTATTATTATTCATTTAGAAAAAAGTATTGTTCATTATATTACTTATTAAATAAATATTCATTTATAAATATGCGTATATTTATTTATAAATAAATATATTTATTTATAAATAACTATTTATTTATAAATAACTATTTATTAATTTATAAATAACTATTTATTTATAAGTAACTCTATATTTATTTATTTATAAATAAGTATTTTTTATTTATTTATAAATAAGTATTTTTTATTTATTTATAAATAAGTATTTTTTTATTAAATCAGTAAAGCAGAAGTGGCAGTGCTGTAGCCAGAGGCACACACGCACACTTTTCAGTTCTTTGTGCTGCTGCAATTGCACAACTTCCTGAAATTTCTTGGCACATTCTCAGGGCAAGTTTGCCTCAGCTCCACCCTGGGTTGCTGCAGGGTCTGAGGGTCCATCCAGGACCCTCCCCTGGTTTTTTCCTGATGCCACTTGGTCCCTGGCATTCTCTTTTTGTGCTGTTTTGTTCTCTGCCTCTGCTATCTTGGTTCTGTATTTTGTTATCTCCCATGCCAGCCTTGCTTTGTGCACATTTTCAGTTACTCAGCCCACAAAAGCCATTGCAAATTCGCCTTCTGTCTGGAAGCTGTTAGGATTCACCAGCAATTCCCGTTCATAACAACAATAATTTCCCGAATGTGGCTGTTTGTGACGCGCAGGTGGAGCCGTGCAGTGTCCCCAAGGCTGGCAGCGGTCACGGGTCCCCTCCCCGGAGCCCGGCAGCCCCTGCAGACCCTGCCAGGAGGGAAATCCTGGGGTGCAGCTGCTCTGGGGCGGCAGAGCTCAGCCCTCCTTCCTGTGGCGCTGGGGAAACTGAGGCACGAGCTGCCCAGGCTGGGGTGAGTTTGGGGCGTGGGGCAGCTCCGTGTCCCCACCCCAGTGGGGGACAGCGCTGTCGCCGTGTCCCAGCACAGCCACTCTCTGTCCCTCAGCCTCTGC